TCTGAGGATCAAACTCAGGTGGTCAGGTGTGGCAGCAGGCTCCTTTAATTGTAGAGCCATCTCACTGGCCCACAGTTCAGTTTTAATATTATCCTGTTGAGGATAATGAAGTTATCATTCCAAATACCTTGTCTGAATGGAACATTTCTGATTAAAAGAATTAATTTTGTGTATATGAGTGTTTTGCCTTCATATATGTAAGTGCACCCTGTGCATGCAGTGCCCATAGAGGCCAGAAGAAGTGTCAGATCCTTGGAACTGGAATTATAGACTGTTGTTAGCCACCTTGTGGATGCTGAGAATTGAACCTGATCCTCTGCAAGCAGTCTTAACCGCTAAGCCATCTTTCCGTCTCCAACTGATTTTTAAACATTTTAAAACTATGTTTTCTATTGATACTTTTCTGAATATCGAAGTCAGCCTCAGACAGATGGGTACCTGCTAGGATATGTTTTCTTTTTCTTTTAACAAATTTAGTACTTCTCCGGGCTGAAGAGATAGCTAAACAGTTAAGAGCACTGATCGCTCTTGCAGAGGACCCAGGTTCAATTCCTAGGACCCATGAGGCAGCTAACAACCATCCGTAACTCTGGTTCCAGGGGATCTGACACCTTCTTCTGATCTTCTCAGGCATTGCACAACATAGGTGCACTTACACACATGCAGGCAATACACTCATACACATTAAAAAAAAAAACTTAGTACTTCTCAAATCTTCATACGCCATACTAGGTCTCTTTCTCTTGCTGCCATTTTTCTTCTCTCTCCCCACTATATATTTTCTAATATTTTTCTTGGTAAAAGGCTACTTTAAAAGCTGATGTCTGGGATAGGGAGCTGGCTCAGTAGGTAAAGTGCCTGTGGCACAAGGACCCAAGTTCAGATCTCCATTCACATGAAAGCAAGTTGTGGAACTACACATCTGTAATCCTAGAGTTTATGGAGAGGGAGGCTGAGACAGGAAGATCTCAGGTCTTACTGACCAGTCTTACTGAAATGAACAGTGAGTTCAAGATTCAATGAGACTCTGTCTCAAAAATAAGGTGAAGAGCTTTAGAGGAAGACACCAGATGTTGACCTCAGGCTTAAATACACACACACACACACACACACACACACACACACACACACACACACACAGAAAGCTGATGTCCTGCCATAAATGCTTCTAAATTCCCTAGACTTTCATGGCTGTATTCTTAAGTCGGAGATTGAGGTTTGGCTTTTCTTATTCCAAGGTGAATGTGAATGGCATTTGAGGTTTGACTGAACACCATGCCCCTAATGCCTGGTGCTGCACCAGTATTTTGCCAATCGAGAACTAGAACCCCTGAGAGGGAAAACATCACAGGAAAGTGTATTGGAATGGAATAAAAGATTATATTTTTATGGGGCTGGAGAGATGGTTCAGGGGTTAAGAATACTGGCTGCTCTTTCAGAGGACCCAGGTTTGATTCCTGGCACCCACATAGTGGCTACGAACTGTCCTTAACTCCAGTTCCAGGGGAATCCGACACCCTCTTCTGACATGCATGGCATTGTGCAATGTGCGTGTACTCATATACATGCAAGCAATACACTCATACACATAAAATAAAAATAATAAAGTTTCATTTGGAGGTGAATCTTCAGATTAAAAAAAAGATTGCATCTTTACAATGACTTTACTTAGAACGTTTCCATGTTCTAGCTTTTCCTCATGGCAGCCAGACAACATTGACACCCGTGTGTCTTTTTTTTTTTTTTTTTTTTTTTTTTTTTTTTTTAGTTTAGGATGGAGAAGGTCCCATGTGTCTGGCTAGTTGATGATCTATGAGCATTTTCTCCTTTTCAGAACATGGGATGAAAATCAGAAAACTCTTACACCATTCTGTATGTTAATGTATATGTTTGCACGTTTGTGTGTGCGTGTGTTGTGTGCCCACTCATGTGGAGATCAGAAGACTATGTTAGGCATCTTCCTTTATCAGTCTCAATCTTATTTTTTTATTGATTTTAGAACTACATATAATTTCTTTGCATCATATTCAGACCCCCTCCTCCCTTTTTTTTACCCCCATCTTACCACCTACCCCCAACTTCATGTCTTCTATTATTATTTGTCTTTTTAGAAATACTTTTAAAGGCCTATCTAGTCTAATCTGTGTTTCCCAAGTGCTCTTGAGTGTGTATCTTTCCCTTAGAGTGTGGTCAACTTACCAGGCACCACACAGTAGGGAAATCTGACTCTCCATCATCCAGAATCTTATCAATTGACACAAATATTATGGGAGTAACCATCCACCCTCCAATTGGGTTTAATACCCACTTCACAATAAGAAGTCCATACCTGACACTGTTATCAGAGCCAAGAACCTGTAACTAGACAGGTCCGTGGCCACAGGGGACAGCCTACTTCTATCATTTTGTTAAATAGGCATAATATTAAACTGACTCATAATGACTTGTTTTATAACCATAGATTAGTGTATCTTATAATATTATTTTTTTGAGACAAGATCTCTTACTGAACCTGGAGCTCCTCATATCTGCTAGGCTCACCAGTCACTGAGGTCCTAAGATTTATCTGGCTCTGTCCTTCCCAGCACTGGGATTACAGATGTACAGGGTGGTATGTTTAGCTTTTACGTGGGTCCTGGGGATCTGAAGTTCCTTCATCATGTTATACAGTAAACAAGGTATTTCTCTTTTATCTCTGGTAATCAAATTAAGTTTGTTTTTATGTGAGTGATTTTAATAGTATAAACAAAGAATGTGACAGAATGCAAGTCACACATGAACAGGTGTGGAACCTCATGGGAATGACAATGAACGTTCTCTGTTCTTCTCTTTTATTAATTAAGATTAATCTTAATCTAATATGACTGGTGTTCCTATAAAAAGGAAAGTTTGGGGCTAGATCAGTCAGTAAGTGCTGTTGTATAGGCATGAGGACCTGAGTTCCATTCCCAACACCTATGTAAAAAATCTGGGTATGGTGATGTGTGCATGCACTCCCATCACAGAAGAGGTGGAGATGGGTAGATCCCAGGGGCTTTCTGGCTAGCTAGCCTAGCCTAATCATTGAGCCCCAGATCCCCCACACACAGAGAAATGTTTAAACAGATAGCTACAGGGAACATGCCATGGGAACATAAAGATGACCATTGACATGACAAAGAGAGAGGCCTAGAGCAAATCCTTTGCTCATAGCCCTCAGAAAGGACAACTCCACTGAAAATTTGCCTCCTGAATAGTGAGAAAGTAAATAATCATTTAAGCATCTATTCTTGGTACTTTGTTACAGCTGTCTGCACAAACTAACCCAGCTACCTACTTCATTCATTCCCTCTGCCCTCAGAAATGCAATCGCAGAGGTTGAAACTCTTCAACAGTGCTGAAGATAACACATAATTATGCCTACATTAATTTCATACTTGACTTCCTAACTTCAGAATAGAAAATTAGTGCTATTCTTTAAATGGAAAAGCCCTGGACTTCATGATGAAGTACGTAGTGGCAGGAGATGCTGAAAATTACTTGAAATATCCTTAAAGCTCAGACCAAAAAGAGCAGTATAAGTTAGGGGCCTTTCCATTTTATTCCATTGGTTACTGGTGAAGACATGTCACATGACTCTGTTTCTATATTTTTCTACCATAACACAGAGCCACCGTGGACTACTAGCCAAGAAGAATCTATCAACTAAGTTATTTTCCTTATTTTGTCATGTTAAAGAGATGTTTAGGCCTGTGTGGATGGTTCACATTTGTGATCCCAGATCTGAGGAGGCAGAGACAGAAGGCTCCCCACAAGTCTGAGGTCAGCCTAAATGACAATGAAAGCTCCAGGCCTGCACAGGGAGACTCTATCTCAAAAAACACAAATTAATTAAATAATGAAAAATTAAAAAGTTAAAAGGTGTTTCAAGTTAGAGTAATGTAAGAATTAATGAGTGCTAATATCACAAAAATAGTTTGCTCCACTGAAACCATATTCTACAAAGTTAAGTCCTCACACATGTAATCTAAATCGGATTACTGATATGTTCACTGTTACACGGCAGACATAAGTGGCTCAACATCTCAGTACAAGCAAAGACTAGGATTTGCCTTGGAATTCTGTGTATCCAAGCAGAGGAAATTATTTAGGAAGTCACCCATGCCTTTGCTAATTCTCATTACTAGTTTCCATATACTGCAATGTATATACTTAGGTAGTTTTCAAAAAACATATTTTAGTCCCAAGAAATTATGTATCATGACTCTAATTACTTATTGATAGATCTTTTGTTTCTTTTCTGCTCCAGTTATTTTCTGTGATCATTTTTTTTTTCTTTGAGAAGACCCATGGTAAATAAAGTAGGAATGTTCAAATAGTCAGCACGAGAAAGAGAACTTAGTATCTTCAACCCTAAAGGGTAGAACCAAGATGAATCAGTTTAAGGTGCAGTTGGCTAGGTCCCAACTGAAAAAAAAAGAAAACATTTAAACAGAGATCTTATAGGACTGAATGGCTACTGTGAAGATTTTCAGGGTGAGAGTCTAAACATTAGACAACCTGGGAAGCTTTGTTTTGGAGAATATTTAAGCAATGATTGGAATAGATTGAAAGGCCTTTACAACCCTGTCTTTTCTAGAAGTTTATGGTTCTATGAACATAGTAATAATCTCACAAAATGTTCCTTTCAACTAACACAAGCATCATTCATTCATAATCTTTATACCATTTCTGTCTGGCATGCTGTTTATTTACTTCACATACATTCTGATAACAGGTATAAAACATCACTTTGTAGCTAATAGTATGTCAAACTACAAACAGAGTTCAAGTTGGAGAATTTTCTTTGGTATTCATTTGTTAATATGAAATCTTGTATTTGTTACTGTATTGGGTAGGAATAATAAATTGCCTTGTAATCACAAAAGAAAAAGATCATTTTAGTAGTTACATTAGTCCTTAAGATTCTGTTCTAAAGAGCTTCAAATATACAGTTTATTATGAAATAATGAAATACTAACCTCTTTCATTTTCTCCAGCTCATTCTGTAAGGCTTGCTTTGCAATTTCAACTTCTATAAGTTGTTGCCTCAGTTTTTCATTTTCATCTTCTGTTGTTGTTCTCTTCTCTTCCACGTTTTCTAATTCATGGTGAAGTCTCACAGATACATCCTTCGCAACCTAAATTGAAGTGTTTGTTGCAATAAAATACAATTTGACTCAGATTGAAAGTATTAAAAACAAATATTTATGTAGCATTTACCACATAACAGCTTTCCAATACCACATGTATAAGCTATTCACATATATCAATCACCTCACAACCATCCCATGAGATAGTGCTATTATTCCTGCTTTATAGAAAAGAGTCTCAGAGAGGTGAAGTGAGATGCTCATGGCTGCACAGCTAACAACTAGTAGGTGATTTGGTTCTTGACTTCATTCTCATAGTACTGCATGACTGAGAAATTTCACATATCTAATTCTACAACAAAACCATAAGTTCTTTGCTTCACTATTGCCTCCATTGAGAAATGGAAAAGAGACATGTTTTACCAGTGGGGTAATGGAGCTCAATTTTTTTAATCTTATAACTCTAAGTACTTAAATTTCAAGTATTTTAGTTCTTGATACTCTTTTAGTTTAATGCTAATATAATATATTTTAACCCAACTTTTGCGATTATCATGAAAATTATAAGGCTTGGAAGGACAATCAAGCATGGACTGTAGAGGCTCAGGACACAGCTAGCCCTCTCTCTCGACTGGGTGGAGTGAGCCTGGTTATTTCTAAGCCATGTTATAAGGCTCAAATACTTGCATGTAACCTAGGTAACCCGGGCCAGTGGTGCACCTGTAGGGTGGTTGCATTGATAATCTCCACCTTTTAGGATCTTGCCTTAAAATTAGTCAGATGATGCTACAGTGCCCAGTGAGTAGTGAGATGTGCCAGAAAGAACAAAATGGATGCAGCAAAGGCATTAATAAAATGTTGCTTAAAACTTCCTTTAAAAGAAATCTAGGGTAATACATTTTACTTTCATATTGATGAAGTTAGTACTTAATCAAATATTCTTAAACCTGTAGTTGGTTATCAATGGCTGAATTTAATAACTGCTTTGTATTGTCACCGAATCTGCATATTGTTACACTAAACTAAAGAGATGGCACCTGGTGAAAAAGTATGTCGCAAAGATTTGAGCTGTCTCCCTAGGGACATCATCTGAAGGAGCAACTTCACTTCAAAGTGAGGTGTTTTCCTCTGCTTCATTCTTCTCCAAATGACTGCCATTTAGACAGGTTTACTTTCAGGGAGTTACTAGGTGGTGAGTGCAGAGAGGAAGGCGTCCTGGGTGGAGGTGAGGACCTGAGGAAAGAAACCTTAGCTCTGTTTTCCTAAGGATGCTCCTATTCTGTGTGTCAGCGCCTCTACAGGAATTCGCATCCACGGTACTCTTGAAAGCCTGATTTCACCTGGCTTTCTCTGGCAAGATGGCACTGGAGGCAGGTCACTGGAGGCCAAGCTAAGCAGAGCCTCTGCTTTACCACGCCCTTGTTTCAGCAGAGAAGGGAGGCGCCCTCTTCCCTTCCGTTCTGAAAGAGCCAAGGTTACTCCCTGGAGAGCTGGCAAAGCTGAAGGCTCGGTTCATTGGTAGGTTCCAGTCCCTTTCCTGACGCTGACAATCGGTGTTGAACACTACGAAACTCCGTATCCCTAACGCTGTTTGCCAGCCACCAGTGAAGGTCTTTCAGCACAAAGAGCTCTCAACCAGTCTCCACTCCCCGCCCCCAGACGCGCGCCCTCGAGCCCCGGTGCAGCAGACCTTGAGGTCCTGCTCCAGGCTGCGCAACAGCTCGCCGTCGATCTCTCCCGTCTGCGCGTAGCGGAGCCTTTTGCGTTCGGCTTTGCGGAGGCGGTACTGCAGGATCCGGCAGTTTTTGTTGGCTCTCTCCAACTCATGGCGCATTTCCTGCAGTTGACAGGCATCTTCCTCGAAGAAAGTATCCCTCATCTCATCCATCTCGGTCCTCAGCTCATCGATCTCATTCTGAGATAGTGACAAGCCGCGGGTCACAATTGGCCTAGCCTTGAACTCCTCCGATACGTACCCGGTCCATCCCATCTCAACTCCCAATTCCCAGCTTATAGCCCCCTCTCCACCAGAGAGGAATGATAGGGCGCTGGAAGAAGAAACTAGGAAACGAGGCCCAGTTTAGGCCTTCTCTCGCTTTCTTATTCTAGCTCTGCGTGAGAAAGTGGGACAAACCGTGGTAATTAGACAAATGAAGGCCTAGATTTGGTTTTCAAAGAAACTCAACGCTACTAATACTAGGTTCAGTTCCAAATTGGGAGCAGGCCTCGGACCTCTTCCACCTCTCTTGTTCCCCTCCTCGGTACCGCTCCCTAACAAGTAAGCACCCTTTCACCCCGCCGGGACACGCCCTAATCCTTGGAGGCTCCTACTTCCCCTCCCCCATTCGGTTCCCACCCCCACCCCACCCCATTTCACCTTGAGAGTCTCGTTCTCTTCCCGCAGCTTCTCCATCTCCTCCTGCATCTCTTCTTGCTCCTGGAGCTGTTGCGGGTGCTGCTGCGACGAAGGGGGCGCAGCCGCCTGCATGGCCCCGCGGCTGGTGCTGCCCTCTGCGCTCTGCTGGGGGCCTTCGGCTGCCGCCGCCATTGGGGAGGAAGAGGGAACCACAAGGGGCTCACAAATGGCAGGAGCACCGGTGATGGGGGAGCTGCGGCTTCCGCCGCCGTTTTTAGTGTGCATCTGAGCCGCGGCCGCCGCCGCTGCCGCCCGCTCCTTCTTCAGGTGGAACTGGATGAGCTCAGACTGCAGACATCCCTCCTTCCAGAAGCTCCCTCCACTGCCGCTGCCGCCCCCTGCCACACCGCTTCCGGAGTTTCTGCTGCCGGGGCCCTGGGTTTTGCTCGAGGCAGGGGTGAGTGGAGAAGGGGAGACCCCCTCCCCTCCGCTGCCGCCCCTCTGCGGAGCGCGGACGCCTTTCCCTCGCCAGCTCCTGGGCGGCGGCGGCTGCGGAGCAACCCCCTCCCGGTCCCCCGGGCCTCCGCCGGCTCCTCCTCCTTCCCCGCCCCCTCCTCCTCCTTCCCCGAGCGGAGGGGCTTCCCCAACTTTCGAGGGCACGGATTCTGTCTCCCGGGATGGCTCCTCCTGCGGTCCGGTTCTCCTGCTGCCCAGGATGCCCGGGGTCGCCGCGGGGGCCGTTTCAGCACCAGCCAAGGGCTGGACAGCTCCCGGAGCAGCCCCTTTGGGCGCCTGGAGCGCCGCCTTCTCCGCCCCGCCTCCGCCGGCTCTGGAGCCCACCTGAGGCGCCGAGCGGCCGGTAATCTTGTTACTCTGTTGTTGTTGCTGCTGCAGCTGCTGCTGCCGAACAGAATTGAGTTTCGTGCCGGCCCCCACCGGGGACCGCGTGGTCCCGGATGTCTGTCGGAGGGAGTTGTCTCTAGGCCTAGCGGGTGATTGCGCTCGCGGCTGCTTTCTGCTGCTGCCCTCCGGGTGCAGACGAGCCTCAGTGGCTGCGGCGGCGGCAGAAGAGGTTGCGGCAGGGGCAACGCCCCCGGTCGGTGGCTGACTCATGGCAGTCTAGGAAGAACCTACCGGATGCGACTTGGAATCGTCCATCACTAGATCATCCTCTTCTTTTTACGATCAACCTTCCTTTCTAAGCTGGCACAGAAACAAAAGAAGAGAAATATACAGCAAGTTTGCATTGTTGCAGAGCCAAAGGCGATTTTGCTGTACAAGAGAAGCTCCTGACAATTAGGTTTGGAAGGCGCTTAATGGAAGCTTTGGTAAGGAAATGGATGCAGACTGGCTGCTACTTGTCATTTTGCCCAAGGTGGCGCTGTCTCCATCTTACTTCACATCAGCAAAAGGACAGATCTGAAAGTAGCTGAACCTTGCTTTCCCTGAATAGCAGGTTTTGGAAAGGGTGAAATACAGGTTCAGAAATGGATGGGGAAGGAAAGAGAGAAAAGGATAGGTCTGGAAGAGACTTTAGAAGGAAAATGAAATGGTCTAGATACTTCAGTTGTCAAAGGTCCGAACGACTTTGGCTTTCTTCAGCATCAAATCTTCATTTAGAACCTAGTCTAGTGGAAAAAGGGGTTTCTTTTTTTCCTTTCTTTCTTTTTTTGAATTACTATTCCCATGTGTCAGTTAAGGAAATGTAATGGTGTCGGTTCCTAGAGAAAATTTACTATGGATAAACGACAGTTTTCTCAAGCAGCTCCAGCCCCTGATGTTGTCTTTAGAGAAACGTTGCCAATTTTCTTTTGGACTAGAACTCAGAAGAAAACGTAAGTAAAGAACGGACTTTAGTCAACACCAGTCTCAGGAAAACAGGAGCAATAGGAATTATTTCGAAGGATCAGTTATTCACAACCTCAAAAACGTATTTTGTAGCTTGAAATATTTTTTTCAAAGTAGATGGATAACTATAATGCTTTTAAGGTTTTGGTGATGAATTTTTCTATACTTGAGTGTTTTCAGTCTTTTTGAGACAGGGTCTCCCTGTAGCCCCAGCTGGCCTAGAACTTGCTCTGTAGCCCAGGCTGGCCTCAAAGGCACAGAAATCCTCCTGCCTCTGCCTCCCAAGTGCTGGAATTAAAGGCCTTTGTCACCATGCCTGGCTCTACTTACTTGATTTTTTACTTCCTGTGAACCACTAAAATTTAAGTGTAAGTGCAATATAGAAGGCATTTTCATTCTTAAAGTAGCTTCTCAGGGAAGTTTAACAGACTAAGTGGAGTGTTTTCAATGCCCATTTACTCCTATGGAGCTAAATTCTGGAACAAACCAACTCTGCACCTAGAGGCTGATGCATCTTCCTTCCTGGTGGTAAAATCAATTTCCATTTTGTTTTCTTTCTAAAGTAAATACAACACTGGCTCCTTTAAACTGGAAAGCAGCAAGCTACTGCCTCATGGGATTTCCTCCCTAGTGATCCAGTCAGCTAGTCCATTTAGTCCCCTTTCTGTGGAAATAGTATTTATCTGTAAAGCACAGGAAGGTCATGGTTAGACATAAACTTTGCTTACACAAACACACACCCACACACACCTTTTGTTTTTTGGAAGTGATTAGTCGCTTTACCTGTATTATTCCTGTTATTGTTTTAAGACTCCATCTTAACTTACAATGTAATCATTTCTCCTTTCATAAAGGAATGTTACCAAAAGACCCCTCACCACCTCCCTTTCTGAGGCCAGAATGTTTTCCTAATTCAACTTCCTAATGTAAAGATGAACAAAGACTTCAGAGGGAAAAAAGTTGCCCACAACCTTTCTAGAATATCTAATCTCCTTCATCAGCATAGAGTCAGGCTAATGGGATAACTCAACTAAATTATATTGACAATACACACTTATTTTTAACTAGGCAGAACTACTCCGGAGCTGAGAAGCCATTCAGTAACGCTCAAGCCTGACCCCCAGACAGCTTTAAACCCCAGACAGCTCCAATTCCAGGATTCCACATTCAAAGACACCTAGAGCTGTCAGATGCTCCCCCACAGGGACAGGATGAGGTATCTTAAGACTTTTCCCAAGGAAACCATCAGCCAAGCAACTTCAGGAAGGCTCAAATCAACGCTTTAAATCTCAAATCATATCTGCCCAAGAGCCCACCCCATTTCTCATCCTCATCTCTTTAGAAATCCAGAAGCGAAGCGCTCACTTCTCAGCCGAGGTGATGCTTCCAAGAAGTTGATGCACATCAATACCGCTTTCTTCCTGATACTCTGGAGACCGGAGACCTTGGGGTTTACTTCTGTGTCTTTGAGAGAAAGCTCAACTTCTCAGTCTTATAAGCGACTTTCTGGCTGAGCATGCTTGATCCGGATCCACACCCACTTGGTTTCTCCAAACAATGGCGGTAACCTCAAGACTCTGAGAGCTGAGAGCCGGTTCTTTGCAGGCGGTCCGGATCGGCTAGAGCTTCGGCTTGTAGCAGGCGAACACCCCTGGTACCAAGCTGTGCCAGACTCTCCCCAGGAAGTGCAGCGGTATTCATGAGCTGACCTCACTGGACTGGGCAGGAAAGAGGGCGGGATTGAAGGGAAGACAGGATAGAAGTAACCAAAGAAAGGTTACTTTAAAGATGAAAGAGAAGGTGGAGACCACCGGGGACAGGGTAGGGAATGAGAGACAAGAAGACAAAAAGGCCAGAGCCACGCCCAAGGTGGAAGATTGCCAGCCTCGCTCATCAGAGTCCTTACTGCACTCTCCTTTCCCGTACTTGGCAGAAGACTCCAAAGCCGCTTAAAATCCGATGCATTGGTTTCCTGCAAAGCTTTGTCTCGGGTCCGGTCAATCTCCATCAATTATTTACTTCAGCTCTTTTCCTTGGGAGGCGGATTGGAGCAGCTTGCCAGGCCTGACTGGCGTCTCCTGGTGCAGCTGAGAGGCGCTGACGCGCGGCTGCTGGGAGTTCTCTTTGTTCACTCACTTTAATTCTCAGTAGAGCTCTCCACGCGCTGCTTGTTCCCCACCCCCAGCTCGGGCGGAGCCAGCGGATGGCAGTTCCACGAATAAATAATGGTTGCCAGAACCACCGTCCCACAGACAAAGGGTTCTTGCTAAACCACCGCTAATTTAGTGCAAATTGAACAAATATCAGCTTAGGGAGGTGGTTGCTGACGAATTAGCACATTTCCTCTCTCCCTCAATGAAGGCCAGTTTCTTCAGTCGAAAACAAAGTGCAGTTTCTGAGATCCACAATTTTTATTGTCCTGCACGTAAGAGAAGTCAGGACAAAAATATATTTATAAAATGTCAGCTGATCAGGAAATTCAGAATGCATGTGGTTGCGATGTATACTTATCCATACTATTCCACAAATATATATATA